TTTATCCTCTTTCTACACTTTTTTTATTGCGTTAAAGTATACATGGCCCTAAACGTGCTTAGGGACCAAGGAGTCAAATACTAGTTCTCTCTATCTCACCTGTTTACCATTTTCCTTGATTTTCGAAAAAAAATATTTATAACTTATCTATTTATTCAATTACTTTCCTATTAATATCTTAATAACATGGTAACCACAACGCAAATAATAATAACGATAACAGCATCAATTAATAGCAATTAATAGGAGAAAAGAAAAATCACAGGATTTCAATACATGGAGAAATCAGGTGGGCAGTATACCATCGTTAATGAGTTTCTTAAATGCACGTATCTCACCTTGATCCTGTGGTTGCCCGTGTCCACCACATACACCCGAGAACCATCCAGACTCGCAGCCACGCCCGACGGTTCGTTAAACTCACTCTTGGTGAACCGACGCCCGTCCTTTAGTGTTTCTGAGGAGACCACGCCCACCTCGCGCAGGAATACGCCGTCGCTATCCAAAATCTAAGGGAAGACGTGATGTGAGGTTGGTTATCATTATTTAGTATTTATTTATTTATTATTTATGTTTATTTATTTGTTTCATTATAATTATTTTTATTGTGTGTGTGTGTGTGTGTGTGTGTGTGTGTGTGTGTGTGTGTGTGTGTATGTGTGTGTGTGTGTGTGTGTGTGTGTGTGTGTGTGTGTGTGTGTGTGTGTGTGTGTGTGTGTGTGTCCAAATTGACAGCATTTAGTTTCCATTGCATAAAAATATATTTCATTATAATATACATCGTAGCTTGTCGCAATATTCATGAAATTGGCTCCACATTGATAACAGGAAATATAATTATGGCATCAATTTTTGTAATAATAACTATGACCCATTTTCATCATTATTGTTATTTCTATTGCTATTATTATTATAACAAATTATAGTGAAACTGCTAATATTGATAATAGTTATTATTATGTTAGCAAGAACACATTACCAATATCAATGGAAAGTAATCAAACAAAAAAAATACGAATCATATTCTTACTTGCATGATCATACAAATCATTCAGTTCAGAAAATAATGATAATGATAATAACTGACAACTGCAGCAGTTACTAATAATAACAACACACACCCAAACCCGGCGCCATTTTCTACTTGTTATTGACGATTTTACATATGGGTAAAACATATTGCATGAACGAATATAATAACAGTAATATAATAACAGTCAATGGGAAAATAACATTAACAAACAGAAGTACATAAATCGCTTCCGGACTTTGTACACGATGATGACATGTATCGACCACAATAACAACATCAAACAGAGGCACATAAATCGCTTCCTTACTTGTACACGATGATTACACGTATCGGCCACGTAGATTCTCCCAAAGCGATCAGTGGCAATGCCCTCGGGGGAAATGAAGTGTCCGAAACCCTTCCCTTTTCGCCCCAACTGACGGATGAAGTTGCCGTCGGAATCGAACACGTGGATGCAGTGTTTCCATTTGTCTGGTTTTCGGAGAGGAGAAAGGAAAGAAATAATTTGATTTCTGGATTTCAGGACGGAGGCTGCGGCAGGGGAATTGTGAATTTCTGAGTAAACAACCAGTACCTGAGAGGTGATAGAAATGTGTTAAGGGGGGGGGGAGGCAAGGTTCCCTGTTACCCCTGCCCTTCCCCCCCCCTTCCTGGTGGCGATGCCCCTTGGGAGAGGCGAAAGAAATTAGTTTAGTTTCCGTGTTTGTGGAAAAAGAGACAAAGAGCATGATTTGCTTTCTAGTTCTGGCCTTCTGGAGCCTATATATGTTTATACCAAATATATATCTATATAAAATATTTACAGAGTACAACGTAATGCGGATGTTCCTCACCGAACCAAACCTTTATCTTAGCGTGTATATATTTACCAGAAATAAAGACCTCCTTCGATACATGACTAAAAGCTATGCTGATTGGACACAGAAACTGCCCGTCTTTGCGGCCACGTGACCCAAAGCTTGAGACTTGTCTTCCAGAGCTGTCGAACATAAATATTCTGAAAAAAAGAAAGAAAAATATACTGATCCATACTGATACGGACAAGTAATATGTGAATCTATTGCTGATATTTAGTATTTTTAAAAATTCTATTCAAGAATAATCTACTTATTCGCAAATACATAATAAAGTCAACACTTAATCCCCCATGTGTGTGTGTGTGTGTGTGTGTGTGTGTGTGTGTGTGTGTGTGTGTGTGTGTGTGTGTGTGTGTGTGTGTGTGTGTGTGCGTGTGCGTGTGCGCGCGTGCGTGTGCGTGTGCGTGTGCGTGTGCGTGTGCGTGTGCGTGCGCGCGTGCGTGCGCGCGTGCGTGCGTGCGTGTGTGCTGCACGTGTATGTGCACGTGTAATAATGAAATAACAACAATAACAATGACATAATGGCTACTACAACAGTGAAAACCTCTTCATAAACCCCAACCCCTGCCACTACTGCACATCGCTTCGCTTCGCCGAAGTCATACCTGCAAGTGTCACTGCCAGACACAAATATCTGCGATGTCCACGGGCTGACGGCGACGCCCGCTGGCCGCTCTCCAAGGTGCTGCCCCCATCGGATTCTCGCCAGGGAACTCTTGCTTCTGGTGATTACAAAAGCGGTGAGCCGTGCGCTTAATAAGGTAGGGCGGAAGAGTGGGATGCGCAGTGTGTAGATATCGATTTTATTTTTGGTTTGTGTGTTTGGTTTTGGTTTGTTTATGGTGTTGGGGTATTATTTTTCCTTGAATGTGTTTTATTGATTTATTTGTATTCAGTATTTGTGTTATTTATATGTTAATGTTTTTTTTTTCTTAGTTTGTCATTTTTAACTTGGTCCTAAAAAATAATACACGATGTTTGTATGTAAAGATTACGTGGTGCGTGTTTTCAACAGCAATAACGTAACACATGGTTTTAATTAGGGAAAATGGCTATCGTCAAGCATTTTCTACAGCACATACTGTAAATATATCTTTGAGAATTTAGTACATTGCTTTTTAAAGATGAACTGGATATCATTTACACGCGCTTATCAAAATGTTTTTTTCTATTTACACATATTTGCTGGATATGACTTGTACTGTCAAAAAAATAAATAACTAATTTGAAAAAATACAATCCCTACGTTACGAATCCTTAATCACTGATACAAACATCTTTAATCATTAACAGGAATCATCCAGTTTGTCTTTCGCAATTAAATATTCCGTTTTCGTTCACATCCGCGGGGTATGTCCATGGAAGCATTGCCAACGCTCAGCTTTCAGAATACTAAATTAATATATGAATAAATCGTAGGATGATGGGACAGGCCACAGAAGGGAATGGCAAACGCATACTGAAAGCTAAGAAGTCTATTGTACTTAAAAAAACTGCTTCTATAAAATAGTCTAAATCATTTGTTACTATGGACGTCATGATGTGTCTATTATAGAATTGAAAAAATAATAATAATAAAAAACCGCTGCACCATTTATATATCCATTTATATTATGTTTTTGTTCTTTGACTCTTAAAGAAATATACGGTATATATTTGAAAAGGTAAGAATTTAAAATTGGTTTTGTCACCACAAAACTTAATTCTATATTGTTGTTATTGATGTTACTGTTATTATAATTTCATATTTTTTTTTGTAAATAACAATAATAATGATGACGATGATGATAATATTGATGATGATGATGATGATGATGATGATGATGATGATGATGATGATGATGATGGTAATAATAATAAGAACAGGAATCATAACGATAACCATAAATAACCATAATAATAAGAATAACAAGACGAAGAAGAATGACAAAGAGAATAACAAAATTCCAATAATTTTCAATCAGAATCTGCCTATCACTTAATCGGACAACCGAAATTGCAAATCAGTAGAGAGGAGCTTAATTGCAATTTCCTGCTCACCGGCGATCTGATTGCTAAAATCCCTTGCGTGGGAATTTTGCAATGATTCTGCAATATGGAAATATCTTACTTCTGCAGGCTGCTTGAAAAGAACGTATGATTGTGAAAATGATGAATATTGTTTGTGATGATGTGATTATAATGATGGTTATGATTGTGATTAAATATATGATTTAACTGTCTACAAGTAAGTTCGATCTATAGAGAAATAAAATATTTGTCAATTAATCTTCATGATATAAATGTGAACTATATTCCTGATGTTGAGCATTAAAATGACCGTACGCAATTGTTTGACACAATTTGCATATAATCATTCGGTTTAATTATTTTGAGAATGTGAACGTAGTCGATAATCCTACAATTAATGCTAACAGTAACTCCTAACTTAAATACTTTCACATTCCATAAAATAAAATCTTTTATAGACACGATCCTACGCAGTGTTCTAAAACATAAACCCTATCCTCACCTGAAGAAAAAAACTATAATACTTAAGCATACCTTGTTTTTCCTCTTATCATGCTAACTGTACAATCAAGAACACTATAATCCCTATAATAATGCATGGCTTGTATCTCATTTTCACAAGTTTACAATAATCAAAATGAATCTATATCCTCACCAATAAAAAAGACTGTAAACGTAGAAAAGGTATGAATAAGAATGAATATCTTCACAATACAAGAGATGCAATTGACCGGTTTCGATTATATCTTCGTCAGAAATAAATGCATTCATGAATTTATGAAGATGTAATCGAAACCGGTCCAATGCATCTCTTGCATTGTGAAGATATTCCTTCTCATTCATACCTTTTCTACATTTGTCAACATGAATACGGTTCACGACTATAAACCTTATATATATATGACGTGTTTTTCCTCTTCACACTCTTATATTAATATAAAAACTCCACCTTCAGCAATATATAAGACTATAATCCTTATGCATGACATGTTTTACTCCTTCACACTCATAAAATAAAATAAAAAAAATCTCCAACCTCAGCAATAAAGACTATAAAACTTACGCATGACATGTTTTTTTTTTCGTTTTTTCCTCTTCACCCTCAATAATATAACTACAGCTTTGCCCTCACCTGTAAAGAAGGCTATAATCCTTCTGCGTGACTGGTCTCTCCTCTTCCTCTTCGTTCCTCCCTTCCACTTGGGTTTCAGGGACTTCTACAGACGGCGTGCTCAGGGAGAAGGTGCTGTCATCGAGAGTCACGCGAGGGCCTTTCGCAGCCGACACAGCTTTGACGAGATGGGAGAGCTTGGCGTGTAGGCGGCCCACTGTCTTCCACTGCAATGGGTGTAGAGAGTTAAAACGTATTTGTGTGGTATGAAAGGAAGGAAGTATATAAAACTAGGAAATTTGTCTAAAAGGTATATTTTCTTATGTAAGTTAATAAATTTAATTTTCGCCGTCATGGTATTAAAGCGGTAGCATTTTTTGTATTAGTTCTTCAATATGTGCGATGCATTGCAATTAACTCCCCTCCATTCCACAATGAAGCGCAGAATTCAATATTTGAATGCAGAATCTAGCTTTCAGAAATTAAACTAATCTGCTGTAAAAATCATGTAATAATATTGTAATAATCATTAAAAAAAAAAAAATTAATCTCACATAATTTACCTCTATTGACACATCGCCTGTCAACGAATTGTTTGTTTTTAATAAGTTTGCAATGTCATCAGCGAGGTTTTCTGATCGTTGTTGGTTATCTTTTCTCATTTCTTGTACCTGTAATGCATTTATATCATAGTGTAATACAATGTGTTGTAGATGCAATATATTCCATGTTCAGTGAACAGTACCATTTTATTTTACAAAAAAAAATCTCATATTAGCAAATGTACTTTATAAAATGAGTATCTAATGTAACTGATATGAACACATAAGTAAAGTGTGTTTCAAATGAGTGTGAGTGTAATTCCTGAGAGTAAAAGGAGTTAGGGATATTCAAGGTAATGGATGTGACGACATCTACTGACCAAACGTTAATGCAATGTAATGAGTATAAATGCTTACACAAAGTAAAATGAGCGAGTAGGAAAGAAAAAAAATTGCTTTAGAATACCTGAGAGATTAGCCGACGTCCGTCTTCGTTCACCTGCTCTATACGCTCTGTCACCGCGTCCTTGATATTTTCCTCAAGTTTATCAAAGCGGAACTGTACAAATAAATATATAAAACATATCAAAATTATTATTGACTGAAGATAGAACACGATAGAATATTACCAATTCCAAGATATTAATTGACTCAGGTACATAAGATTATGTCACACCTGGCACTATTAAGCATAACCTAGATAAATATCCTACATCATCATTACAATGCCTTATTAAATTAATAACATTAGCTTAGCCTCACTGGTAGAAACAGCCATAACATCTGATGTCATGATATGTGATAAAACTGTTCTTCAAATATCAAATCACTCAGGCCATTCATGTAAATGATTCACTGTAGGCTTGCTTCAGTTTACCTCGTCTTCTTCGGCGCGGTAGAAGAGGGTCTCACGGGCTGCCACCAAACGCTCTTGGAGTTCAACCACAGCATCTCGCACACTCAGAGCATGGCTGGCGCCACAGATATCGCACCACATCCGCCCACAGTGTCCGCACTCACTGACGCCCACTGCCGTCTGACAAGTGAAGCACACGGGCGTGTCACCACACTGCCGCCGTTGTCGCAACACCTGCGCGCCCTTCGCTAGTACCCTATTGATAGGTAACCCCATGACGCCCTCATGCGGGACTTGTGCTGCTGCTCTGCATGACGGGCACGTGAACATCATCCTGGAGGGCATATTTAGTATGTTTACTTGTATTATCATGGGCGAATATACCATGGACTTCTTGAAATGACTAAGATAAGTGTGTGCGACTAAGGTGAGCACTATGGGTAACACATTTATTTCCCAAAATTGCAAGAGAGAAATGTTTACTTTTAATACGTCCTAGAAGTGTGCATGCAGTCGTACCACAAGGAATTGGTCATGTTCACGCACCTACACGAATTGACATAGTTCTGTAAGCAGACGAGGCAGAAGGAGTGGCCGCACGGGAGGGAGCGCGGCCGGTGGAGGAGGTCCAAGCAGATGGCGCAGGTGAGCTCGTCCTCGTCGAGGCTCTCGCTCTCGGGGGACGAGGACACCGAGGATGTGTCTGATGTCGAGGGGCCCCCAAAGCCGTTGACCGAGGAGGGTCGCTGCTGGTGCATGGACGCGGACCTCTTGGCGGGCGAACGCGGGAGCTTCCTCTGCAGCGACGCGGACCCAAGTGAGGACACTCCTGACGATGTAGAAGACCCCGGGGAGCCGCCGGGGCTCTCCCGAGGACGAGTCTGAGGGCTTGACGCATCCCCGGCGGGCTTGAGGACGTCCGAGGAGGTGATGGGGGGGAGGTCTGTGTTGACCGACGTGTAGCCTGTGATGACGACGTTGCTGTGGCCCGGGGGGTCCCTCCGCAGACTGCTGGCCGAGGACGACGACCGCTTGGGAAGCCGCCGGCGCTCGCTGGGCGGCTCCTGGGTCGTCGCCCCGGGCATCTTCAC